GACAGATAGATAGATAGATAGATAGATAGATAGATAGATAGATAGATAGATAGATAGATAGATAGATAGATAGATAGATAGATAGATAGATAGATAGATAGATAGATAGATAGCATGGTAAAAATTATTTTTACATGCATTATGCATTACCAGAACTGGCCACTTAAAGGTGCCAGAGATCATGCTATATATTCTTCACTAACAAGTATTCATCTGTGTTATGATGATTCAATAACACAGTCTCTGGCTCCTTCTAGTATTCTGGTAATATATGTGAAAACAATTTTTTCCAGGATTTCTTTCTTTTAATATTTCCAAACCATGGATAAGTGAAAGAGTGGATCGTGATCCCATGGATGAGAGGATCCTTCTGTATTTTCAAACCTTAGTGTGGGGGGGTGGGACCAAGAAGGTCCTGGAAACAATGCAAAAGTGCTCCCTGTTCCTCTAAGAAGAGCACAAGGAGACTTTCTGAACCATGAAAAAAAATGATATATTTTTTTGAAAATTTAGGAGTTCGTGGTGGCTCAGGGAAGGAATCGGCATACGGACCAGCCCTGTTGTAGATATGTCACCCTAAGTAATTTTTGGCTGGCTAGATAGCTCAGTGGTCTAGGTACCTGGCTGCGGAGCCTGAGGCTGGGAGTTTGATCCCCCCAATTTGCCTCCTCCTACACGTAGAGGCAGCCTGTGTAGCCTTGGGTGAACTGTACAGTTCCAGGTTGCCCCTAGAGGAAAGGAATGGTAAAGCACTTCCGTACCTGGAAAACCCTGGGGGGGGGGGAAGGATCAGCACAAATCAGAATTGACTTGATGGCTTATGATTATTAAGAAATGGGTTTTGGCTTGCTGCTGATTATTTGTCACATGCTCTTGAAGCAGAATTTGTGAGAATGTGCTTTTTGGAGAAAACTCTGTATCCTAGAATCCTCGAGGCCATGTGGACCTGGGATAAGGGCTTGAGTCGCTGTCGTCTAAACACCCCCTCGACTTTGGCCAGTTATGCTCCTGAGACACTAGCTTGCAACCACAAGGAAAGTGGAAGTTCATGTGAAAGGGGAACCAGCCATGTGCCAAATCACATGCAAAACAGCTGATGTGGGTTCTTTTTCTAAAAAAATACTTTAAAGTACAAAGAAAGAAATAATTGCTAAAACAGAGATACCATAGATCTGAACACAAAGTTGTAATATTGCAAAAGCAGAGGAAAACAAAAGGAAAAAGAAGAAAAAGGGGGGAAGCAGAGAGAAAGAAATAGCAAAACAGCAGATGTGAGGTGACAGAAAGGATAAAGTTAGCAACACAGTGATATAGGATGCAGACTAACCAGAATATTCCCTGAATTTATTTTTTAAAAAAACATGTTAACCAACAAAAATGACACAGAAGCCTTCCTTACCGAGTGGCATTTTCCAAGGCCCTGGAGAACGAAGCATATTCGGTTGATGAGTGCTGTAGAGAGTAAAACCAGGTAGTTGCAGCTTGTGCAACAGGATTTGCATCTTCTCCCCCCAGTGAGTTTTGGAGAGCCTGGTAGAAAGCTGTTTTGCTGTTAGCACGCCCTTGGCTTTCTTCAAATTGCTGATTGGGAAAGAAAATGCAGAAGCCTCATTGACACAGAGAAAAATTTAAATGCCACATTTATTTTAATTTAATCTTTGCACTGAGGCCCAAACCACTCAGAATGCTGATCTCATATTGAGGAGATGACCAAACATTTTCCTTTCAGGAATGCAGTTCCTTCAGAGCTTCTTGCCCAAGTTTGCAGACTTGCAGACGAACCCTATGTTTACATCGTAATGACCAACTGTAATTCGAAAGCAAGATAAAAGAAACCCCATAATACACAGAACTGGAAAAGTTCGTGCTACCAGAATTTTTTTAAATTAAATCATATTAAGGAGAATGGATAGTAAATGTAGACCTGATCCTCTGATCTGGTTTGATCCTGTCACGTGCAGCCCACAACAGTTCTTTGTTTCCTAAACACTAAAAGTGCGCAAAAGACACATTGGCGAACATAGTGCCATGTCTCAAATTTTATATGCATGGATTTCTCTGCTGATGTTCAGCATATTTATTACAGAATATTTCAAAGAATATTCACTTCTTTGGAGTAGTAAAAGAAAAAAAGTGTGCAAATTGTTAACTAAGATTAAAATCATCTCCCCTAGTGTATTCCTGATTATTGTGTTAAGGGCATGAAAGCTGGTCTGTGAAAAAAGTTGTCAGGGGGGAAAAAAACTGATTTGCTTGAAATAGGGTGATGGAGGAGAACTTTCGTGGATACCTTAGACAGCCAGAAAGACAAAACAAGTGGGTCCTAGAGCAAATCAAGCCTGAACTCTCTCTGGATGAAAAACGATGAAACTGAAGCTATTTCACTTTGGTCATATCACGAGAAGGCAAGATCCTCTGGGAAAGACTGTAATGACTCAATGGTTACAATATTAATCAAGTTTGTTGTTCCCAATAAGCAGCCTGATGAATTGATGGTGCCCATGATGGAGGGACAGATCCTGAAGCTGAGGCTCCAATACTTTGGCCATCTCATGAGAAGAGAAGACTCCCTGGAAAAGACGTTGATGTTGGGAAAGAGTGAGGGCAAGAGGAGAAGGGGACGAGATAGTTGGACATCAAAGCGACCAACATGAATTTGACCCAACTCTGGGAGGCAGTGGAAGACAGGAGGGCCTGGCATGCTCTGGTCCATGGGGTCACGAAGAGTTGGACACGACTTAATGACTAAACAACAACAACAACAAGCAGCAGCAGAAGGTATGGGGTTGATGAGAAGTTGGGAGCCAGATCTAAAGGAAACCAGTTTATCTCTCCCGTGTTAAAACCAAATGGCTACCCAAGATTCTCAGAACACTGAGCTAGTCTCTTAGAACTGATGTTTTTCCCTTTGAAAAAAGATACTTTGGAACACATGTACCTATAGAATTCATCGTAGATGCCCAGCGTATAAACGGGTGGCTGGAGTCTGCAGGGAGCCAAATAAGCTCTAGTCAAAACTCTTCGGGGGGGGGGGGCTACACATGGTGAATGAATGAGTCAGAAAGGCAGCCAGCGATGCTGAAAGGATGTCAACCATCCACTCCCATTCTCAGGGCAGCCAAGACTTTGAGGAGAATTTTTCTTGTCTTTTCTTTTCTGGCCCACATTTTGTCTTTGGAATATATTTCCTTTACCTTCTGTTTTTAATGTCTCGGTTTCTCCCACCCCCGAACTGGATGGAATTATTTCCTGAAAAAATGTGTAAGTTGATCACTGCACCCTTTTCTTGGCTGAAGAATAAGGTTACTAGCTCAGAAAACCTGAGCCAACTCATTACAACCTTTCCAACTTATTCTTTAGGCTGACATTTAAAAATAAACCACCTTGATTTCTTATCATCGTCCTGCCTCAGAGAAAACAGATCTCTTGATTTCTACGCTCAACGTTAGCGTCCACACTCAGCCTGCCTTTGCGCAAAACAGAAGAGCAACTTGTGGTAACTGTATTTTGAATGCTCAGCTGTAAATGGGATCTTACATAGTGCAAGGCCGCTGATGCTTTACCCTAAAAGTGAAAATACAACATCAAAAAAGACAAGAGGATGCTGATTTGCATGATTGAAAGTGCTCCACTTTATAATGACAATAATAGCATGCCACCAAGATGATTCTAGGTAGAGAATACTCAGAAGTGGTTTATCATTCCCGTCTTCTGGGACGGTGCAGTTTACCCACAGCTACACAGGCTAGCTTTTCTTGCAGAAGGCACAGTGGGGAATTGAACTCTGATTCTTTATCCCTTGACAAGACTGGGACTGGAGAATCCTTCAAAGATATAGTACCTAACAGCCATCTATATCCATGAAAAAAAAATATCCCCACACATGGAAAGCTAGCTGGTCAGGAAACAGGTTTCCTTTGAAACTAGTTTTATGTATGCAGGGAATACCTAAGGAAGCATTTCCTGGACTGTCTTCTCATCCTAGAAGAGTAAATTGAGAATCCAGACTAGTTACTTTTGGTCATATTGGTTGGGAGATCCTGGGACCAGGGACCCCACAAAGCAACTTCTTCCAAGTTCTGATCCAGACACATGCCTACCATCTCATCTGGTGTTTGTGAGAATGAGGCCTTATTCTCGATAGGCTGTCTTAGATATGAGGCATCTGGTTTGCATCAGAAAAGCCTGAAAACATTTCCACAATCTAGTGTAAGAAGCAAAACAGAAAGGAAATAGAAGGAAAGGCTACCCAAGAAATAATACAAAAAGGTTTTGCAAAGGTTTCACATGAATTTGCATAGAAACGAGGTAGAAGAAAGGACTCCATTTTTCATCCTGTACTACTCCAGTGTATTCCCCTCTCCCTGCGTTTGTATGAAGAGAGGCAGATGGGGATTCGAGGTCAAACTGGAAGACTAACATTTCCTTACTATGGGACAGACAGAACATGTAATGCAGCCTGGAAGGTCAACATGACCACATGACTACTGTGTGCAGAAACCAACATGTTGGGCTCTGAATAATGTTGTGATATCTGTTATTCACAGGAAGAAGCTGGGAGATGTTAAAAGAGAGGGTTGCTGGTGACATTCTGGAGAAATCATTCTTTTTTGTCTGCTGTTTGAGAAGCAATATCACACAATAAAATTGGTGAGAATCAGCCACATTTCCGCGCAAGGCACCGAGCTGTAAACAGAGCGCAAAGGAATGAAGATAAAAGGAAGATCAACCACAATGCTGATGCAAAAAAGGAAGAGGGACGGATCTTTGCCTGGCTCCTAATACACTTTAGTACATTCACAGACAGTGTGTCTTATGTTATCTTAACAGGAAAAACATGATGTGGTTTCTCCTCTGGTGAAGGTAGGGACTGGTAGTTCCCAAAGCTTGGGTTTCCAGAGATGGCTGGATGTTGTTGGAAAATTCAGTCAGCATGACCGAGAGTCAAGGGTTGTGGGAGAGGTTGGCCAATACTATCTAAAGATTCAAATTTGAGAACAGCTGGTACCCTGCTTCCCTGAAAATAAGATCTAACCTGAAAATAAACCCTAATATGATTTTTCAGGATGCTCATAATATAAGCCCTACCCCCAAAATAAGCCCCAGTTAAGTGAAACCCCTCCCTCCACCCTTGTGCAGCAACCAGAAGAAGATGACATGATTGTATTTGAATAAATGTAGATGGTTGTACAGTGGTGCCTCGCAAGACGAATGCCTCGCAGGACGATTAATCCGCAAGATGATTGGTTTTGGCTATCACTGTGGCGCTTTGCAAGACGATGTTTTCTATGGACGATTTGGGCAAGACGATGATTTTTCCCCATTGGAATGCATTAAATAGATTTCAATGCATTCCAATGGGGAACCGCATTTCGCAAGACGATGTTTTCTATGGACGATTTTTGCAAAACGATTTTTCCCATTGGAATGCATTAATTAGATTTCAATGCATTCCAATAGGGAACCATGTTTCATAAGATGATGTTTTCACAAGACGATGTTTTCCGCAGAACGAATTAACATCATCTTGCAAGGCACCACTGTACACGAAAAAAACAAAATATCACCTGAAAATAAGTCCTAATGTGTTTTTTTTTTTTTTTGAGCAAAAATTAATACAAGACCCTGTCTTATTTTGGGGCAAACACGGTAGAGATGGAACCATGGAGCTTGTAATTTCCATTATCTTGAGAACAGTTCAGGGATCACAGGAAGAGGAGGACATCCTGATAAATTTGTCTGCTTGAATGAGGTCAAAACTTCATGCTATCCACAAATGGTGTTTGTGATACCCTGATACTACAAGTGAGGAAGATCTTGGAATTGTAGATCAAAAGTGGAATATGTGCCAACAGGGCATTGTAGCTACAAATAAGGCAAATGCTATTTTAGGATGCATTCAGAAGTATAATCTCCAAATCCCATGAAGTTACTAGTCCCTGCCCTCCCCCATGAGCCACTGTAAGAGCAATAACACATAACACTGTAACTTCACTGCCATGAACATTTGGGAAGGTAGATTCTAACTAGCAGGCATCAGAGAATGCTACATCACAGTGGCAGTGAGTTTCCCTGACTTCAGAAAATTGACTCCTTTTTCTCTTCCCAAATCCATGTTCCCATTCAACCCCTATGTCCTTTGATGTCAACTCATCCCTTTTCCAGCTTACTACTTCTTCCATACAAGACTGTCCTTCCAGGCAGGGCCAGCTCTACCATTAGGCAGAGTTGGCTTCATAACATTTCAGATGCTGTGTGGCATCAAGCAAGTACTGGAAGAAAACGTTGTGTGCCTACCCGGATCAGGTTCTTCCATGTTTTATAAGCAGACCTGACTTAGCAAGGTGGTTTCTTACATTTTGTCAGCAATGAGGGCAAAGAATCGGAAGGAAAAGATATATTTATATTGTTTCTCTCTGATATGTGCTTCTGTGTCTCATCCATTGCTCTCTTATCAAGTCAGACTATTTCCCTGATTCCACAACTAAAGCTCTCCGTCTGTTTTAAACATTGCAATTGTCTCTGTACCTTAATTGCCTTTGCCCGGCTGATCAGACCATCTTGCTGGGCACTTCCAATGAGAAGATCCATCTCCACAGGCCGAAGGCGTTGCAGAGCGGCTGCGGGAGACTCTTGAAGGTAGGATCCATCCACCACAGGGCCCCAGTACTGAAATGGCCCACTTATAGCAAGGAGCTGCGATAGGAGTAGGGAGATGGTCAATGGTGGGGCAGGGAAGGAAAGACATCGGTGGTGCTACAGCATGGTGAATTAGGACACAATACAGGAGTCGGCAACTGGCATCATTCAGTGGTAAAGGTAAAGGTTCCCCTTGACATTTACTCCAGTCGTGTCCGACTCTAGGGCGCGGTGCTCATCCCCGTTTCCAAGCCATAGAGCCAGTGTTTGTCCGGATACAGTTTTCCGTGGTCACGTGGCCAGCACAACTAGACACGCAACGCGTTACCTTCCCACTGTGGTGGTACCTATTTATCTACTGGCATTTTTACATGCTTTTGAACTGCTAGGATGGCAGGAACTGGGACAAGCGACGGGAGCTCCCTCCGTCACGTGGATTCGATCTTACGACTTCAGGTCTTCTGACCTTACAGCACAGAGGCTTCTGTGGTTTAATCCACAGCGCCACCACGTCCCTGTCATTCAGTGACAAAGGGCCAAAATATACCAACTCCTAGCTTTCGAATTAGAAGGTTATAACACACTTTCCTTCCAGACACACATTCTGTGTCCCAGAATCCCCTAGCCAGAATGTCCCAATGTGACAAAAATATACTGTATAATGTGTCTGTGTCTTGTGGAGAAAAAACATAACCACTGTGAATGGTGCCCCCCCAAACAAGAAATGGGCGCACCCTGGTTTGTGCATCATTGAGAACTTTGGCAGGCAGCTGGCGCAGGCAGGAGATGGTTTCTTCACTGCCATCTGATGGGCAGCCCAATTCACGGGCCAAAACAGCAGCTTGCAGCTGTGCTTTCTCCTTGCTGATTGTTGATGCTGGAGAGAAAGCAGATCCTCCCTAGAAAGAGAAAATGGATTTTTCTTAAGTCCAGTAAGTTATGGATCCACGTGCTTCCCTAAACTGGCTGCTATCATTGGCATTGCCAACATTCCAGCTGCCCTTTGCTTGGAATCCTTTTTCCTATTGGCAACATGGGCATGATATTGGGCAGCAAGATCAGGCTATTTCTTGGCCTTTTGAATTGTGGATACAGAAGCACAATATCCAGCGTTCATAACATAAACAGGTGGGGGGGGTCAACCATTTTCTTTCAAGATAAGCAAGATTAGCCTTTTGCATTTATATGAACTATTTTAAATCTGGGGGAAATTTAGGGTCACTTGTTTCTGCATGAGAGGACAGTGTGTTTTTTTTTTAAATCATAACTTGAAAACCCATTGCCCCCAAATTTCCTAAATTTGGCACAGAGCCAAAGCAGACTGCCTGCCCGATTTGATGCTGCTCTGAAGTCTGGTTTCAAAGTTATAATATTTTATTTAAGCTGCCCCTCTTTTTTGAATTGCCTTGTAGAATGTCCCTTTGGATCAGGCTATTTCTTGGCCTTTTGAATTGTGGATACAGAAGCACAATATCCAGCGTTCATAACATAAACAGGTGGGGGGGGTCAACCATTTTCTTTCAAGATAAGCAAGATTTAGCCTTTTGCAGTTATATGAACTATTTTAAATCTGGGGGAAATTTAGGGTCACTTGTTTCTGAATGAGAGGACAGTGTTTTGTTTTGTTTTTTAAATCATAACTTGAAAACCCGTTGCCCCCAAATTTCCCAAATTTGGCACAAAGCCAAAGCAGACTGCCTGCCCGGTTTAAGCTGCCCCTCTTTTTTGAATTGCCTTGTAGAATGTCCCTTTGTTTTGCTGCACAATAACATAGATGCACTACTGTGCAGCTATAATGTTTGGAACAAATAACCAGGAACAGAAAGTGCTGGATATTTTTCATGGGTGTGGCAGAGTTTTCTCTTGCCCCCCATTTAGTCTTGTGTAGTGGAGAGCCCACAAGGTTAGATTTCCTTAGCATTGTCAGGAGTTTGCTAAATTTCTAGACTAGCTGTGAGCAATATTCACCCAAGATGTAAAATAAACGTGTTGCTGAAACAGAGGCAATTCATCCTTATTTTGAGGGGTCCCCAATACCCCCTCGAGCCCTACATTCCATTTTTAAATATAATTTTCTTTTAAAAACACTCACACATTTGGCCACTAGAGATCACAGGGTGCTTTTTTTGTACCCCAAACCCTCTTTGAAAATTTAAAAAAATCAAGATGCAGGTTCCCAGGAGCAGCTATGACTCTCTCAGGTCCACGGAATGGTGTTCCCTGACATCTCCAGAGGTCAATTTTGACAGTTTGGAAAATTTACTTTCTTGGTCAGATGAAAGAGCTAAAATTTCTGAAGTTGGAGAAGACGATGTTCTACCTCCTCCATTTAATTTGCTCTCCAATATTCAGCCAGATTGTTTCAAGCCATACAGCAGCAAAAATAATTCTCACAAATATGAAAACTCTCAGGAAGGTTGACAAAGTGAGGTTTTACATCTTGATACAGAAGAAGCTTCTGTGGCCAATTCAAACTTAAATTACCTAGGGTTAGTGGTGACATTGCATTCTAGTCACATTTTCCACGGGGCTGAAACCTGCCAAACAGAAGCAGCCTCTTGTATTTCAGTGTGTGATGTGTGTCCTTGTGTCTGGTTCTCACCCTTAACACAAGTTCCGCTGGCTTCTAAACTCCGAGTCCCTCAGAATACATCTACCCTCACACCTGTTTTTCTCCCTTCCCTAGTTGTTTTTAAATGGCCACCTCCACACCAAAATACATAGTTTTAGTGCAAAAGAACAGCACAACAATGCTTATGTATTTAAACTGGTGCTCTGCACCATATCACATAAAGATTTTTACTTGACATAAAGAGAACACGATAGCATCTGACCTAGAAGAGCAAGGCAGGAATTAGCAAAAACCTGGTTTCACAAATGACTCATTTGAAGTGTGGAACATTGGTTAACACTCGATAGTTGTTGAATGTTTGGTTCTGAAAAAGTATTACAGGCTAAGCAAAAGAAAAAACAAACAAAACAGAAAGCAAACAGGACAGGCCATGCCAATTTGGTTTGGATCACTGCATGGGTTATTTTGCTAAGGGCATTAACTAAGGAAACTGCATGTAGATTAATCATAAAATAATGGTTGGAATCCAGTAGTAATCCAGCAGCGAATCTTTGAATCCATGGAGATTTAGTGAGTCTACTTGGGGAATTAGCTAAAACCTGGTTTCACAAATGACTCATTCGAAGTGTGGAACATTGGTTAACACTTGATAGTTGTTGAATCTTTGGTTCTGAAAAAGTATTACAGGCTAAGCAAAAGAAAAAACAAACAAAACAGAAAGCAAACAGGACAGGCCATGCTGATTTGGTTTGGATCACTGCATGGGTTATTTTGCTAAGAGCATTAACTAAGGAAACTGCATGTAGATTAATCATAAAATAATGGTTGGAATCCAGTAGTAATCCAGCAGCGAATCTTTGAATCCATGGAGATTTAGTGAGTCTACTTTCCCGGTGGGCCTACTCTAGTTGTGACTTATTACTGAACCCCAGTCACTGATTCGGAAGTACAAATACACAGGGAAAATGTAACATTATAATTGCATGTTAATACATCTTACATCTAAAGGCATTAAGCCTTTGAGTTAAGCACTCTTGCTTTGTACAGCTGACCTAAAAAAAACACACACAATCCATAAAGCCAATTGATGTACAAAATTCTCCAGCAAGGAGATTAATCTCCGTCAGAAAAATAATGTAACCAGTCACACACTAGCAGAGAGCAAGTGCTGTTAGGACCAACCTCGCCTCTCCATAGCTGATTTCTTGGGTTGTTTCCACTGTGGAAACTATTGTAAGCTTCCTCCACTGTTCACTGAGCAAACGAGAAATACAAGCCTTCCCCCAGTTCCCCATGTTCCTGTCTATTTGAGTGGAAATGTCAAGTGACAGACCTTCACCCATTGAGCATAAAGAGGACCTCTATGTGGTTCAGCTGGGAGGACTAAGAACCTTTGTACAAGACCAAGAATTCACCCTTGTGTTGAACGTGTGAACATCTGATGTTGAAAACGTGAGAGTCGGTGTGGAGTCATGGTTACGGCTTTGGATTGAACCTTCGGAGAGCCAGATCCCCCCCCCCAACAAAAAAAATCTGTATTGCCCTGGCAAGATATACTTCCGAAATATTTGTGCGGGAGATATTGAAAAGTAATCTTTAGCCTGTTTTTTATAATTGCTTTTACCCCTTGAGGAGGTCTGACGTCCAGCTGCATCTTTGAACATAGGTATGGGAATACATGCAGACTTTATTAAAATGTTATGGGACAAATATCCGTGGAAGATTCCTTCGTGGTGTTCCATACCATTAGGGAACTGATTCAGAATACTTTTCTCCTGCTGCGCCTGGGAACTCTCTTAAGAATACAGTGGTGCCTCGCTTAATGAGCGCACCGTTTAACGAAGAATCCGTATAGCGATCCCTTTTTGGGGATCGCTATACGGATCTGCCCCAATCGCCGCACTCGCTGTGTGACGGTGTTCCATACCATTAGGGAACTGATTCAGAATACTTTTCTCCTGCTGCGCCTGGCAACTCTTTTAAGAATATATTTCCAAAAATAAGGCATTTCACTTATGCCCAGCATTTTTTTTTCTTATCATGGATAGCACTGGTTTCTAAATATAATTAGAAAGAGGCATTGAGTCAGCCCCATACTCTCTCCAGATGTGCATGACTCTCACTGAGGTCCCCAGTTTTTTTTACTGCCCAAGGATTTTGGTATCTGCTTTGCATCTTCTGGACTTCTGATATTGGACTGGTTTATTGGACTTTTGCCTGTTGAAACCCCCTGGGAACGTGACACCACGAACCCTATTGTGGGGGAGAGGAGATTGTCTAGATACAGGAACCTCCCTCTTTCAAACTGTTGCTCTTTCATGGTTAAATTGATGGCGGTTGGTGGAGCTACTGTGCTCCCCTTATTGCATGTGGGTTTCAACATGCTTTAAGCACACTTCCATAGAACTTGTGTCCTAAGTGCCCCAAAATGCCAGTGTCTTGGTGTTTCCATGGATTTGTGGAAGAGATAAGCTACACTAACACTCAAAAATTGACTTTTCCCCAGACTCATATTAATGGGGGAGGGGAGGATTAAAATTTACCCATATCAATTTCAGGTCCTCAGAAACTAATTTCTCAATTTCAGTGAAGCAATTCTGGATTCCTGCTTTCATAGTCATCAGATCACACTGTTCAGAAGTCTGATTGTGCAAATCATGCAACTTCGGTGCACCACTCTTACAACTTTTTGCCTACAGATTCCCAGCTCCCTACTTTTGGAATGGGCCAGAGCTAGGAACTAGCTAGTTACGTTTCTCAATTTCAGTGAAGCAATTCTGAATTCCTGCTTTCATAGTCATCAGTTCACACTGTTCTGAAGTCTGATTGTGCAAATCATGGAACTTCGGTGTCATGAATCAGTGTTCTTTGGAAAAAAGGCCATAGATTGAAGAAAGTGCATTAGCGTGTATGTAAGAGGCGCTGTTCTTTCTGATGTACTTTCCCCATAACGATACCGCTAGAATCATGTCCCTTCCTACATAATCACCCAACGACCACTTCTGATCAGCTGCATGACTTTTTCCTTGCTGAGGGGAAAAGATGTTTTTGCTTTCACTACTGCTTTCCACAGCAGTTCATGGTACGTCAAATCAAAAGGAATGTCTTCTGTGCAAAGACTTCAATTATGCACAAACTAGACCACCACTCTTATGACTTTTTGCTTACAGATTCCCAGTTCCCTACTTGGGGATGGGCCAGAGCTAGGAACTAGCTAGTTACAAATAACTAGTTACTTGTATCCATTCTTTTCCTCAATAACCAGCTACATTATATTACAATTGTAACTGAAGAAGGGATAACATAACTCCTTTCAGAGTGCAATACAAATCTTCTAGTGATATTTATAGTTCCTGGATCATGGCCTCTCTAAGTCATGGAGGAGGAATATCTCATGGTTTAAGTGCTGGCTGTTGTAGTTCCTTGTGCTTTATGCTGTCGGTATTGAAACAAGAATGAGGTCAATGAGAGGGTCGTTTGGATTGTATCACAGGCCAGCATGGAGCATACAGATGGACTTCTTTTAAGTAACTAAAAGTACTCAAAAGAACCCTGTTTGTTATTTCTACCAGAGTAACTGTAGTGGCATAATCTACAGCATCAACTTGCTAGCAGTTAATGAGACACCATTTGCCTTCCTCACTGTGGGCAAGTTAGACAACTTGGCGCATGATAAGGAAAACGAGGGGCAGTTTGTTAATTAGCAGCAATTTGCTGGCATTGCACTTACATAAGCAAAAATAATAAGATTCCGGCCATGATCTTATTTACTTTTGATAAATGGGAAAATAAAGAGGTTTTTGGTTGTTGTAGCTTTTTCAGGCTGTTTGGTAGCCATGATCTTATTTACTTTTGATAATATGGGAAAGTAAAGAGGATTTTGGTTGTTGTAGGTTTTTCAGGCTGTTTGGCCGAACAGCCGGAGAAACCTACAACAACCATCAGATCCCGGCCGTGAAAGCCTTTGAGAATATAAAGAGGATTTTCTTAAACAACAATCACTGCGATTGACTGTAAGCCGCCTGGAGTAGTGTATCTGCACAAATGGGGTGGCACCCAAATTTAGGAAGCAAGCAAGCAAATGGAACAAACTGCTCATTTCTTGGCTTGGCAAAGCCTGTCCTCCTACAAGAGGAGGTATCACAGCCTGGGAAGAGCAACAGAGAAGGCCCTCTCTCATCCCCTCACCAACCACACCGGTGAGGGTGGAAGAACTGCAAGAAAGGCTCCTCTTGGCAATTTTAAAACCTATTATGGCTCATACATGGAGACACAGTCCTTCAGGTAGCCTGGACACAAGGTGTTCAATGCTTTATAGGTCAAAACCAGCACTCTGAATTGTTCCCATAAAGGGAATTACTTGCTGTCATTTTCCTGGGGGGTGGGGTACACTTATATCTGTTATTTTGCAGTCGCCATTTCATTTCTTTTGTGGCCATTACTCTTTTTTGAATTCTTTTCTCAGTCAAAACTCTGGCTGCAATTTCAGGGACACTTATTTGGGAGTCAGCAGTACTGAAACAAAGAGTACCAGGCATGAGACCAACCCAGGAGATGAGTTTGAATGCGACATTGTTTAGAGGTGCCACATCCAAATTCAAAATAGCCATGGGGCATTTTACCTCGGGCAAGAGGAGGAGGAGGAAGAGAAGAAAAGGTGGAAGGAGAAGGAGAAGAAGGAGAAGAAATGACTAGTATTTCACTTCCTCACCATCTCTAAGCCTATTCTCTCCTTACAGAGTTATTGTAAGTTCAGAGGTATCAAGAGCGAGCAGTGTCCTTCAAAGTAATGCTCTGAATATATGTACCACTGAACTTCAGGGAAAGCCCACCTATTCATGCAGCCTCCTGTCTTCCCTGGTCTCATTAGAGATAGAAATAAAAATGTTCAGCATCATTGCTGAAAACACGGACAGTTCTTATCGCCTCTGCTTGGCTCTTGTGGTTTTATGAGTCCTTGCCATATTGCCTGGAGGCTCTCCAGTCTGCCTCCAGCTTAGTATCGTGGTATAACACGCAACTCCATGCTCCTACCGGTGCTATAAATACCCTGGCAATACCAAACCCTGAAAGCCACTAGAAAGTCAATTGTGTTCGAAGGGGGAAGGACAAAGGGGGTAGATAACGCATCAGAAGTTTGCATGTGCTGCTTGACCTACATGTTGTTTAGCACCTGCACCCTAATCCACAGGAGCCCTGACACTCAAAACGGCGAGCGCAGAAAACAGTGCCTTCTCCCCAAGACCACCTTTCAGCCCAGCTTGAGACTCACAACGGGAAACCTCATCTTGTGCAAGAACATTAAGTTCTTCCTCATTTCGCACAGAGGAAGTGTGTGGCTTGTGTGTAGCAAGCTCTGTGTCGTTACACAGCCAGCTGAGTTTCCCCAAAGTGTCATTTTTTTGGACCGCCGGGCACATTAGAACACTATCTACATCTCCTGACGCATTTCCACCCAACCCGAAAGCTGGATCTCCCTGGCGAAAAGAAAAAGGGGACGTGATGCTTGGAGTCTGAACGCGAGGTAAGTTTTGCCTGCGTGAGGAACTTGGTAGAGGTGTTCCTTCCTGGCTCACTAGCCCCGAGGTCTCTTGTTCAGTCTGCACATTTGGACTGGGAAGGGTTTGACTCAGAAAAGAGTTTTGAGATTTAGTCACTTCATTCAGGTTCATGCAAAGGGGAGACACACAGCGCAAGAGGCCGAGACATTATGAGCCTTCCATATGAGCCTACCCGGCAGATGCCCAGGACGTGGAATGCCTGGCCTTTCATATGTTGCTCCGTAGTGATTCCTACCCACCTCTGGTTGTGCTAGCTAGGCTGATGGGAAAGGCAGAACAACACAAAGGGGCAACACCATTATACAGGAGCCAATGATGATGATGATCATTATCATCATCTTAGAACTGCAAAGCTGGAAGGGACCCTATGAATCATGGAGGCCGGCCCCTGTCAAAGAGGCACAGGGGGGGAATGGTGGCCGGCCACTGTCAAAGAGGCACGGGGGGGGGGAATCGAACTTTGAGACTCTGGAACTCCCTCCCACAGGAGGCCAGCCGGCCCCCCTCTTTCCTCTCCTTCCACAAGCAGGCAAAGACCTTTCTCTTCAAGCAAGCTTTTCCCCCAATGACTGACTGGCTGCCTGTGTGGGGTTTTTAAATAAATTGTTGTGCCTTACTGCTTCTAATATATTTTTGTTTTCGTTTCCTATGTTGTCGTGTGGTATTTGTATATTCCCTAGTATCTGCATACTTAATGTTTTTGGTGTTGAATCTTGTCTTTTAACGATGGAAGCCAATTTGGGTCCTTTATAAGGAAAAAGGAGGGATTGAAAATAAACAAATAAATAATAAAATCAAGAATGAGGTAGGGGTAAACCTTTTACTAAGGCTGTGTGTTGGTGTCAGACAAATTCCTCATTCTAAACCACACTGACTTCTTTTGGATTAATTTGTGTGAGGTCTCAGTTAAAAATGGAACAGCCAGATTTGATTCCAGGGTACAGTGAAAAGAATTTACAAATGGATTCATATCCAGGGCATAGAAGAAAAAATGAACATGTGATAGTTCAAAGCCTTTTTTAAAAAAGCAAATTTTAAAGATGTCTATTGTGCCAACCCTTGAATCTAATCATTTGAAATTTGGTAGATTTACCCCTCTTTTTACAGTCTATCATGTCTTCCAATTTCATGCATGTCAGTGCAAAAACAGAACAGTCATAACTATTTGGTTTTCCAACGCATGTTATTGCACTGAGTCAATACATTTAAAAATCCATTCAGATCCAAGGCACAAATTGCTCAAATCAGACACAGGTTCCTTCAGAGAGCAAGGCTTGGAAGAGTCAATTTTGTGAGGACCACGACTCACAAAACTGTGGGAGTTTTCATCCGGAAATTAATTGTTCCAATATTTGTGGCAGAGGCATCAGCACTTCCATGGTTTTATTGTTCAGGACCAAATACGTTTGGCAGGTTTTGGAAAATTCTAAAACCTATAAAGCCTGTTTAGTAATAATAATGCGCCATGAAGTCAATTAAGACTTGTGGTGATTTTTTTTAGGGTTTTCCAGAGAATACTCAGAAAAGCTTTACCATTTCCCTTTCTCTAAGCATTGAGCTGTCCAGCAAGTGACAGAGTCTGTTTAGCGGGAGGAAAATGTGTCAGGAGTAGTAATAGCTGGTCGTGCTTTCAAATGATCTTTGGAACTATCTCCATGCTAATTTAAGACATCATTTGTGCTTACCCTAGTTACAAGGCAAGGAAACCAGAGACAGGATGACGATAGTATGAATTTAATCCTCTAATTTACTAAAATTGATTTGAAAAACTGCTGTGTGTCTCCATGTGGTTACAACACATTCACAACACATAAGACACAGACAACGGAATGTATTTTTTTTCCTTTTCTAAACTAGAACAAGAAACTCCTTGGTGAATGAATTCAGTCATAACTGAACATTTCACAAAACAACATGTCTGGACAGGCATGAAACCAGGATAGTGGAATGAAATGTGTTACAGTAAATTTCACTACACTATCTTGACATTACTCTCTGTCTGCCTGTCCATCTGTCTGTCTGTTTCTCTCTCTCTCTCTCTTCATTCCTTTATCTATATCCTTTTCTTTTTCTCTCATTTCCCTTTCTTTGAGGGCAGGTCTCCATTTTAAAGCTCTTTCCTTCTCCTCACTGCAACGTAATTTTTACTACCTTTTCATGGAACTGCATATTTAAAAGGGAATTTCATGCTAGCAAGAAAGGGAAATGAAAGACAAATACATTAATTAAACTGTAGGAATGTCTGGACAGTTTTATGAAACACATATCTGTAGTGTTTATGGTAAGAGGTATGCTCAGCAATGGTAACTTGCTTTCACACAACAGTCTCAGGGTCAAACTAGACATTACAGTAAAGGAAATGGACATTCCCTGCGATTAGCACTTTTCCCCCTGTGAGTGACAGGATTTTGTCAGACACAGTCTGTACCTTCATAATCAAACTGGCGTGTTAAATCCACATCTACCTATCAATGATAATTGAAACAAAGCATGCTAAAACAGAACAGTGAAGTGTGAAAAACTGTGCTGTGACAAATAGACAACTTTTGCCACTCAAGAGAGCACTGCTTACAAATAAGTGCTGAGCTTTTCATCTAATTTGACCCTCAAGGCCTGAAAAAATAGTAGCTGAAAGTCAATAGGGGCAGAAAGAAACAACAGTTATTGTCCGTTGAAATGATCATAACAGGCTGTTCATATAAAGCCAGGGCATGTGATTTAGGTCTCTGACTGCAAAGCCAGAGGTTTGGAGTTTAATTCCCCACGGTGCCTCCTTGACAGGGGCTGGACTTGGTGATCCCTAAGGTCCCTTCTAGGTCTGCAGAATTATAGAACTGCTGGATAGCTCAGTGGTTTAGATATTGGTTGGGAGTCTAATTCTGCACTGGGCCTCTGGGAAAATGGAGGAAAATGGAAGCAGAGAGCAGGAAAAAGCCACAACAGGGGAAACATCTGTGTGTGTTGTTTTGGGTTCAGTTGAGTTGCAGTGCACTCTATGTTTCTTGTCCCTGGTACCTAAGAAAGTTCTGAGATGATGATGATGATGATGATGATGATGATGATGATGATGATGATGATGATGATGATGATGATGATGTTGACTCTTAAGAGGACCCTCGGAGGACCCTCTCGTTCTCTGCCTCTGTCTGTGTCTGTCAGGAAAAGCATTCTACTGAGCTTCCACTAAGCAGAAGGCCCTGCCAGGGCAGTAATTTTGGGCCATGCTATTTTCACCACTATTGACTTTGCACTAACAGGGAGAAGGGCTTCTTCAAGGAGATCACCACTTGCACATTGGCAAAGCATGCACAATTGATGCGCTCCCACAGGCAGGACCTTCCAGGAATTTTTGAGGAAGCTCAATAAGATACTGGCCAATATACGTCTATGCTCTCTCTCTCTCTCTCTCTCTCTGCATAATACATAGATTTGACTGACACTTCCTATTATGTGATGATGGCATCAATGGAAAATACTGTTTCATGCAGCAATTCTTAGCAACAACTTCTAGCTGCGGTTTTCTGCCACTGTTGTGACAACTTCAGGAAGGCTGTGAAATTTTTAAGACGTGCCAGCGCTTCTCAGAGGCATGCAAAACACTTGATTGAAACACACACACACACACACGCACACACACACACACACACACACACACACACACACTAAGCACACTAAGCACACTAAGCACACTAAGCACACTAAGCACAGTACATGCTCGGCTTTCTTCACCTCTTTCTCTTGCATCAAATGAGCTGCTGTAACCGAGTTAAGAGAACAGGTGCTAACCCGAGACTTCTGCCACCTGTCTTTGCTAGCACTGACGTTTGCACCTCAAAGGAAGGAAAAAAAGAACGATGGGAAACACAGCGAGAACGATGAAAGCCACACCTGAGATAAACAGCACACCCTGGCAATCTGGTAAGCACAGTAAAATTGTAAGTCAAAAGGAAGCAGGGTGGGGCAAGAAGGGAAGAGGGTGGATGAACTTCCTGAATTGTTAATGTATGCCTGTGTTCAGATATTGGTTGCTAGGGGCTGGTGTCAGGATAGCCAATTGTTGATCTCTGCCTTTCAAACGGAACTTCAGGTTGATTATCTGTAGGTGGATGAGCTGCGGAGATGACCTCTTGAAATTCTGTAGTGCACCTAGATTTGTTGCTGTTGTTTAGTTGTGAAGTCATGTCCAACTCTTCGTGACCCCATGGACCAGAACACACCAGGCCCTCCTGTCTTCCACTGCCTCCCGGAGTTGGCTCAAATTCATGTTGGTAGCTTCGATGGCATGGTCCAACCATCTCGTCCTCTGTCGCCCCCTTCTCCTCTTGCCCTCACACTTTCCCAACATCAGGTATAATGGCTGAAAATGTGGTCCTCATGTCCATCTGTTCATTCATTCATTCATTCATTCATTCATTCATTCATTCATTCATTCATTCATTCAATTGATATACTGCCCATCTGGCAACTAAGGCCACTTTGGTCGGTTCACCTCTAGCCCAATTCCGCAAACTCTGATGGCAGCAGCTCTCCAGGTTTTAGACAAGAGTCTTTCGTAGCCATCATAGTGCATATGCGCTAATGCTGTGGTTCTCAAACTTGGGTCCCCAGATGTTTTTGGACTGCAGCTCTCAGAAATTCTGGCCAGCACGAGAAGTAGAGAAGGCTTCTGGGAATTGCAGTCCACAAATTCTGGCCAGCACGAGAAGTGGGGAAGGCTTCTGGGAATTGCAGTCCAAGAACATCTGAGGATCTCAGTTTGGAAACCATTGCACTAATGGGGCGGTAAATAAATAAACACACGCACGCACGAACGCACTAACAAACGAACGCACTAACAAACAAACAAACAAACAAACAAACAAACAAACAAAGCAAGTACCTCAAGATTCCTGGTGTTATCTCTTAGTCACACTTCCAAGTACTCAGCAGGCCCCACCCTGCTTTGCTGCTAAAATCAGACAAAACTGATATACATAAGGGATGACTTACTGGTCCTAGAAGCAGAATTCTGAAACGTTACGTATTTCGACTATGACTTCCATGGTCTCCCTGTCAACATGTCCAGTGCCCATGCTGACCAGAGGGATTCTGGGAATTATAGTCCAACCATCTAACTTTTCAAAGCTTGGTTCCCTGAGGAGGGGAACCATCTTAATGTCTGACCATGTCCAGGAATAAAAAGACCCGTTATCCGAATTGAAAACACAATTCCATTAGAGCATTGTTACGTGCTGCAGCAGTCATCAAGGAAGTTCAGAAGGCTGCAGACATACAAAATCTGTTGCAGATCTGCCTGCAGGCAGTCCATGATAGGCAATGAAGCGATAGGAATGCTGGCTGGGGGATTATGGGAGCTGTAAGTCCATGAAAAGCAATGAAGCGATAGGAATGCTGGATGGAGGATTATGGGAGCTGTAATTCAAAAGCAAAACATTCCCGGGCTCCAATATAACACATCGTGCTGGACACAGAAAAAAAGCCCCATCAAACTCAATTTCCCACTGTCTTCTGGGATTTTAGCTAAGAGCTTAGCTAGGTACTAGCCAAAGGAAAGGAAGAGCTAGAGAAAAAGCAATGAAGCGATAGGAATGCTGGATGGAGGATTATGGGAGCTGTAATTCAAAAGCAAAACATTCCCGGGCTCCAATATAACACATCGTGCTGGACACAGAAAAAAAGCCCCATCAAACTCAATTTCCCACTGTCTTCTGGGATTTTAGCTAAGAGCTTAGCTAGGTACTAGCCAAAGGAAAGGAAGAGCTAGAGAAAACAAGAAGGAGACGGATAAACGACCAAGCTTCTGCTTGTTGTTACTGAGGCCTTACGGTTTCAGCAAGGATAAGAAAATGATACCACCAATTTTAAAGAACTAATTCTAGATGCATGAACGGTATGCCTCATTAAACTGCCTACCAACATATAATAATCATGTGCCGTCAAGTCAATTCTGGCTTGTGGTGACCTTTTTTGGAGTTTTCCAGGTAGAAAATACTCAGAGGAAGTTCACCTTTTCCTTCTTCTGGGGGTATCTCTGGACTGTGCATCTTGCCTAAGGTCAGACAGACTGACTGTTCTTCCTGGAGGCACAGTCAGGAATAAAACTGAAGCCAGATACTGAAACCACCGAGCTATCCAGCCAGCTTACTTAGATATATGCCCTCCTTAGATATATAATCTGTTCCACGGAAATCGCTGTTTAGCTAAATCATTGTCTAGCGAAAAGCATTTATTTCCCCATTGGAATGCATTGAAACCTGTTTAATGTGTTCTAATGGGGAAGAATCATCGTTGTCTAGCGAAGATCGGCCATAGGAAAGCCACTTTGTGAACCGCCGATTAGCTGTTTAAATCGCTGTCTTGCAAAGCTTAGCTCCCGAAAACACCTGTTTTGCAAGCACAGAGGGAGCTGTCAAAATTGTCCTCTAGTGCAAATTGGTTTGTGAAGCAGGGACCAAACATTGTCCAGCAAAATTCCCCCATAGGAATCACTGTTTTGCGAATCGCTATAGCGATCACAAAAAGTCAATGTCTAGTGAAAAACCTGTCATGCGGGGTAACTGTCTAGCGAGGCACCACTGTACCTTGAGAGGTGATGGGCACCGCACCATTAGAGACATTCAAGAGAAATTTAGACAACCCTCTGCCAGATCTGCTTTGATTTGGATTCCTGCCTTGGGCAGGGGGTTGGACTAGATGGCCTTTTAGGCCCCTTCCAACTCCATGATTCACCCTACACATGCTCAGAAACTGCAGAATTCTTAAAGGAGTGCTGAAAGAGAGGGGAAAAGAAAAGGGAAGGAGAACCTAATGGGAAGTCCTCAAAGAAAATCTAATCTCCCTTGAATAAGGAGTGATTATCTTATATTCCAAATTGAACAGGATGAATAGGAGCTTTTGCAACTGTAATGTCTATTGCATTTACTGTTAGTCTGACCTTTATGTTCAAGGTTTTAGGATCCTTCTCAGGGTCTCTCAGAAGTCAAATCTCAGGGAGAGAAGAGAAAAGAACCAAGGGGACTAGGATATTGTCTATGAATGTTCTCCACAACCCAAGAGTCTCTTGATATGAGCTCTATTCCATGATCACGAGGTGGCATGCCCAGAAGGGTCATTCATGATATCCAATATTTGCTGATTCATGATATCCAATATTTGGTCCCACCCTCTGTCTAAGAGCCAGCCTACTTGTGATACAACAGCTGCCTTACACTGCCTTATGGTTGGTTGGCTCTGATGTCTACCCAGATTCCATAGGAGATCAGGCGCCAGAGGTTGGCAGGATCTAGCAAAGCTCATTAACTTGCTCTTTTGGTCTGATCTTGTGGAACACACCTAATTCAACCTGAGAGCCAAACCGACTATTGACAGTTTTGAAGCGTTTATGTTGTGTTGCATCGTTACATATCCCAGATCCCTGCTGAACTGAAATGAACCTTAACTGTGAAAATGAAGCAACGGTGCTCATTTCAAATAAATGACGTGAATGGAGGTCACAAAACAGGAACTACATTATTTTGAGGTTTATGCAGTCTCAAAAGGAAGCAATGCAAAAGGGAGCGCAGCAAACACAGTTTGAGCTAAAATCCATACTGGGAGCTCCTGAGAAGATTAGACCGGAGGAATAGCTAGATCAGCATCTTGCATCCTTTGGTGGCCAACCAGATGCTCCTTGAGCACTTCTGTTACGACACCAGATCCATAGCCTTGTCCAAATTTTGCTCTCTCCAGCAATTAGAATTCAGCAGCTGGCTGCCTCTTGGAGTTAATCCACAGCCATCTAAGGAACAGGGTTTAATGATGCAGGACACTTGGCTACGTCAGAGAATAGCAAGTGTTGAAACAAGTAGAGATGTTCCTGCATGGATTATAGGCAATCCACACCATGCCCCAACATGCAAACTGAGCACGTAGCAGAAATGGGTTCTGGGTTCACATTCCTGCTCTGCTTTTGCAAAAACTAAGGATGGGAACGACAGAGGAGAAGGGGACGACCGAGGATGAGATGGTTGGACAGTGTCATCGAAGCAACCAACATGAATTTGACACAACTCCGGGAGGCGGTGGAAGATAGGAGGGCCTGGCGTGCTCTGGTCCATGGATAGCAGAAATGGGTTCTAGGTTCACATTCCTGCTCCGCTTTTGCAAAAACTAAGGATGGGAACACTTGGGCCCACCAGATGTTCCAGAGACCAAATCCAAGAAGCCTAAGCCAGCATGGCCAGTGGTAAGAGATGGCAGGAACTCTAGTCTAAAACATCTGGAAGGTCAAAGCTTCCTTAACACCAGTGTAAACCAAAGCCATCACCCTTATCACACAGATTCATGTCTCATAGATGCCACCCATTGCAGAACCTAATGCAGTGGGCAAGTGTTTCCTCTGAAGGACTTTATGGAAGCCTGTCCTTCCACCAGCTCCATTGCTCCAAGTCCTTTTACCAGGGATGACGGGGTTGAACAGAATTCTGTTTAATTCTCTCTCCTCCATAATATTGAGCTATGGAGTTGCTCAGCACAGCAACCTGTACAAATTAGACTAGAAGTCCAGTATTGTCAATGCATCAACCCACCAAACTGCCTTGAAAAGCTTGTTCTCAATCTACCCACAACAGTTTCGTTAAATCAGCCTTTCCCAGTCTGGTGCTCTCCAAGTTTGTTTTTCTGTAGGTTCCACCATTTTCGGCCAGATTGTTGAGGATGGTGCAACTTTCAGTCTGACATACCTATGGAGCAGTGATTCCGAACCTTGGGTAAACCAAGTGTTCTTGGACTACAACTCCCAGAAAGCCCAGTCAGGACAGCTGGTGGTGAAGGTTTCTGGGAACTGCAGTCCAAGAATACCTGGGTTACTCAAGATTGGAACCTCTGCCCTAGAACGTCAAGAGAGGAAGGCAGCATCAGCAACCAAATCCAAAACTCTGCACAACGGCCTCCACCCACACCCATCCCCATTGTGGGATCTTTTTCTGTTCTCAGTTCCCCATGAGGAAAAAATATGTGTGAACAAACATATATATGAAAAAACATGGCGTGTAAACACACACTAATAATAGCTGCCGCTACATTGAACTAGTTAAGCCAAAAGAGGTAACCAACCTAACAGCCAACTGAACAGGAAGCTGACCTTGATTTTTCTGACTTCCTGTGGTTTTCTGTTTTCTTTTGGTACTATTTTTAAAGTCTCAATCTATTTTCGTACCCTGGGCAAGAGAAAGATGTGCCATTTATGTGACACAATGAAATAAGCATGCTACCTTTGGATTAGAATATAACCACCCAGGATAATGTTTCAGCTAGAATTAGAAGTGGGCAACAGTTCTTGTTGCTAAAATTCCCAAGGCACTACTAAATAGTGTTGCATGATTTACAACTCTTGAATTAATGCATGCTTGACTAATCATTGTGCTGGCTACAATCAGTTGGAAGAAACAGATCTAAATCTCTTCCAGCCCAGAGACACAGTCACTATGTTTTCCCTAATTTAGGACAGGGTGACAAGTGTCCTAAATAATTTCCAACAGCCTTAGGCTGGGAAGGCTGGATTCAACACAATGTCAGATGGTCTAGTGTTGGTATCACTGTCAACGCATTCTGTCAGTGACTAGCGCAGACTTTTGCTGAATATGTTGATCCATCTGCAGCCCACTGCGCTTTGTATAACATTAATACTTCCTCATAATTTTTTTAGGCCAAAGAAGTGATTTTCTTGCTGTTCTTGATGATTATCCGACGCCAGATATAAGCCCGCCTATATTTCAAGTCGGAGAAAAACTACGTGTCATATCGGAGTAAGTATATTGCTTTTAAAAACCTATCTGAAAGAAAATACACATTGATTTGAGGAGCAACTTTAAAAGCCCTGTTCCATAATTTTCATTTTCACTGGATTAAGGTTACATATATTTAGAGAATGGGAGAACTTCAAAACTAGCTGTTTCCTGCTCGCATTCTTTTGCTACCTTAATGTTGCTTTCTAGCTAAGGCTCGTAAGGTAAAGGTAAAGACAGGAGGACCTGGTGTGCTCTGGTCCATGGGGTCACGAAGAGTCGGACACGACTTAACAATTAAACAACAACAACAACTTGATGGCACATAACATACACACTATTTTCAATAAACACTTCATCTCTCCCTTGTCTCAAGAAGAAAAGGAGGAGGTCACTAAGGGACAGACCCAGCACCAAGTGCTGAATAAATAAATGGGATACAAAGTGTTTTGCATGATCCTGGGTATTGCAATGAATTACCAATAATGACTATTACCAATGATAATACATGTTTGTCTTTTTAACAGAAGGGTCTAATGGCAAAATACATTTCTGTTCTCCTTTAACTGTTGCACGCTTACTGGCAAGCATGACAGACAATATTTTATGGAAAGTTTTTATTCCTGTTATGATTCTATGGTGGCACAGTTTTTTTAAAATACTTGCCGCCTAACACAAGCAGGAAAGCGCCCTTTAGCAACTGGCTTGGGGAAACCCAACCTTCAGCAAACTTGGAGGAATTACAGAGGAGAATCATTTTTGGTGTCTCTAGGCGCCATTTTATAGCCCAACAAAATGACAAATCAAACGTCACTAAAAATTCATTGATTTGTATTCGTTTATAGAGGAGAATCATTTTGGTTTCTCTAGGAGCCATTTTATAGCCCAACATATTGACAAATCAAACATCACTAAAAATTCATTGATTTGTATTCGTTGGGGGCATTGATTCGTATAAATAGGAATCAACAAATTAGCTGTTTTTGAACAAATTTGGTGATTATTTTTTTAAATTCAAGCCTACCTCTATTCCCAACTTTGCATCCCCAGATGTTCTTGGACAAAACCTCCCAGAAGCCTTCATTCACTATGTCGGCCAGTATTTCTGGGAGCGATGTAGTCCAAAAACATCTGGAGACCCAAGGCTGGAAACCACTGGCCTAGAGGGAAAGTGCATCACCAAAGGCATGCCAGCCATGGGGTCTTTCAATATGCAAGAAAGCTCATCTGTTGATCTAGTACAGACATGGGCAAACTCTGAGGACCTGTGAGATGTGAACTCCCAACCGTTAAAAGGGGCAAGTGGGGGGGATGGAAAAACCAAAACAAACCAGGAGCTACCAATATGCCACTGATTTTAGGGGGGAGTGAATAAAAAATCAAAATTAAAAATTAAAATTAAAAAAGAAACTTGAAAAGAGGAGAGACTTCCAAGAATGGAAATTATTGTTGTAGTTTTTCACACTCAGCAGAGGGAAGGGAGTCTGTTAGGGCCCAGAGGAAAAAAAAATGGGCTAGATGTTGCACCTGGCTATGGACTACCCAATTTTTATACCTGACACAGGATGTTAAATAATTTCTATACTAGAAACAGCTGAACAGACTAAATAAATAATAATAATAAAAAAACACAATGATCGCCCTAAAATATTGCAGAGGAAGAAGAAAATCTTTTCAGAATGGATGTGTGCATTTTCCAGTTTCAGGAGAGACGGCTGCCAAGTAATAATTTAAAAAACACAATGAGCACCCTAAAATATTGCAGAGGAAGAAAAAAAATCTTTTCAGAACAGACGTGTGTATTTTCCAGTTTCAGGAGAGACGGCTGCCATTTTGTAGCAGACACAACAGCCAGAGGAGCAGCTAGAATACCATGAATGGGGGTGGGGTAGGATGATTACCTCATCTGGAAACAAGAAGTCTCAATAACTGTACAGCTGAGGGTTTTGTTTTGTTTTTTAAAATACTCTGGGGAAAGAGGAAGTCTAGTAATTTCACTGATGATCACTTTCCTCTTGCACATGTTTCTTAGGATTCACAGACGGCATGGTTATATTTTAAGTTGGGTGGGTCACCCCACTTTTTCCCCCTCAACGGAAATAAACCTGTTTGCTATTCTGACAGATGCAAGAAGAGAGGGCTGAAAAAGAGAGAGGGTGAGGTAAAATCCAAGGTGGGGTGAAGGAAGGGCAGACTTCCTACACTGCCCTTTGAAATAGGATTCAAAGAGGACTATGTCCCTTACCCTTTTAAATTTCCTCCCTCACTCCCTTCCTTGCGACTGCCTTATAAAACTGCTTCTGGGACCTGGTGAAGTTCAGCTGGGTCTATGACCCAGCCTTTCCACCCCCTACATCTATAAGGGGTTTCCCCCAAGATATTTGCAGATATACCTGCATAGAGACAGACATGAATCACACAGGAGTACATCCAAACGTATACCAGGGAAAATTTAGTCTCATTCTGTGTATATTTATTTGGACACAGATTGAACTGGACAGCCAGTACATAGGCCTGATCACTGTGATGAAGCAGGCTACAATGTTCATTTTTAAACTATTTTCTCCTTTTGTTTTTACAGTGAAGGAGGCTGGTGGAGAGCCCGTTCCCTCACTACAGGTCATGAAAGTTATATCCCAGAAAAATATGTAGCAAAAGTTTACCACGGGTAAGGAACGTCCAAGTATTTATTTGCATATGCGCGCGCACACACACACACACACAGAATTAAATGTTCATACCAATCTGTTTGTGCCCTCATATTTCATATTTGCTGAGAACCATGCAGTTTGCACGCCATGTGTGCACTTGCATCTGAAGTGACCCTGTTTAACCTGCCTTCTTTAAAGAAAGAAAACTTCCTTCTGTCTTTGCGTCCTTCTGGAAGGAAGCTTTCAATTCATTTTTGAATTTTTTTTCCTAAGAGGTGTAACGCATCAGCGCTGCCCTAACTTGGCTTAAAATAAAACCCTTTGCTCCCTCCCTTTCCCATCCATGGAAGAACAGAAAAGGTTTTTAATTTCTCAATATTGTTAAGTCGCTAAGCTGTCTACTTAAATCACTTAATAATAGTGTGAAACTGAAAGTAAATAGGCAATTGAAAGTGGCAAGTCATCTGCTTTGGTTCAGTCCCACTCATTGGAACCAAACCAAACTATGATTCTACCCACACCTAAAAAAAAAAGAGTAACCCCTGACAGGGAACCAAAAAGGTGGAGGTAGGATCTACCTGGGGACAGGATGGATTATGCTGGGATTTATGTCATTGGGTCCCTGGGACCACCTTCCCTCTGTTGTCTTCTCCCTGTGTGCAGAGCAATAGCCTGTAATCAAATGGAGGCCCTGCATATTATGCCTCTCCTCTCAAAAATCTGGGCTTTGTACTCTGTGGAGAGGTTCTAAACCACCGAGGAGACTCAACCCTCTGACTGTTGCTCTCCACACACAAACCTCTTCCCCTTTTCATGCATTCGGATTAAGCCTAACAGTGGTTAGCAACCTTCTTTTTCCCTCCAGCTACCCATCTTTTACTGCCTTGTAACTCAAAGCATAGGCAGGTCAATTAAGAGGGTGCAGGGAGAACTGGGAAGAGGAGATGATGGGGTTGACCCTAGTCATCAAAAGATCAACGTACTTTACTCCTGCAAGCCCTGACATAACAACACTACTGTTGCTGACATCCCAGTGCAATCTGCTGAGAACAGGTATCCTATATCCTGGGACAGTGAGGTGACAAAATCTGTTTTGCATCCCAGCCTCTGGGCTCAATGGGGACAAGGAGGAGACAGATTTCCCTGTCAAAGAGTAGCCCCAGCTGTGTCTATCTCTTAGAGAGAGGTGCACAGACTTATGCTTTTGGACTACAAGTCCCACACTTCACTCAGCAGTATGTCTGTAGTCTGCATATCTCTAGTCATAAGCAACTGGCTATCAAAGCAAAGCAAAGTGTGCGGCTTATATTCCCTGTCAAAGAGTATCCCCAGCTGTGTCTATCTCTTAGAGAGAGGTCCACAGACTTGTGCTTTTGGACTACAAGTCCCACACTTCACTCAGCAGTATGTCTGTAGTCTGCATATCTCTAGTCATAAGCAACTGACTATCAAAGCAAAGCGAAGTGTGCTGCTTATATACCACCCCTTAGTGCTTCAAGCACACTCTGGGTGGATTACAACATAATTATGTAGGCTACACATTGCCTCACGAGCTGGATATTCAAATTGGAAGGATGGGAGACTGAGTCAATCTTGAACCAGCTACCTGAACCTGTTGGCATCAAAGGCAGGTCATGACCAGAGTCTTGACTTCAGTACTGCAGTTTAACCTCTGTGTCACAAGGCTCCTAGGGGTACTGAATTCCTGAATTCCTATAGGGAACTGAATTACTTAAGTCATGGCAAGATCTGCCTTCCTGCACTCTTGGTGATGTCCATTCCTCCCCGTGAATATAAACTATCTCAACCATTTTTTCCAGAAGAACTCACCTCCCCTACATATATTCAGTATAGGGTGAGTGAGTGCTATATATATCTCCCACCCTTCCTATACCCATGAGAACAAACATGCTTTTAGAAATTCATAACTGGCAATTTTCCAGCTTCGAGGTGGGTGGGAAGCCTAGGTTACCAGAAGCGAAAAATATTTCCATAAGCTCATTGCATTGTACTTTCCACGCTAACTCTCCTCGTCATAACGTGCACATCTAGTTTCCTTTCCCTAGTTGCATAATTTCTAATCTCCTCTTCCTTCTTCCTCTTCTGCAGCTGGTTATTTGAAGGCTTAGGAAGAGAAAAAGCTGAAGAGCTGCTGCTGCTTCCCAATACGAAGATTGGTTCGTTCATGATTCGGAAGAGTGAAACAACAAAAGGTGAGAAGAAGAACTAATTATTTTTTTTGTTTTTACCTCCACCACTGTTGTCTCAATGAGCAGCTACTCGGCCCTGCTGCACAGCAGAGGCAGCTGCTCAAGCTATCCTCAGCATTTCCCATTTTGTTTCTAAAGGATTGTTGAAGACTGTCATTTCAAAATGGCAGTACCCTCCCACATGGGAGTGCTGGTATCTTATTTTTATAGGTAAAGGCATTCATCTATAACTGCATCTACACAGAGAGGGGAAAACCTGTGTTCCATGTTAAAGTAAGGATGATCATTGGCCAAATCTTTATGAGTTTAAGCTGAGTTGGGAGAGAAGAGATTCAAATCCCTTCCCTATGAAAGGTCAGGGCATACCTTAGTATTAAGCATATTAATGATAAAGAGGTCTCTATATTATTTTTGTTGTTGTTTAGTTGTTTAGTCATGTCCGACTCTTCATGACCCCATGGACCAGAGCACGTCAGGCCTTCCTGTCTTCCACTGCCTCCTGGAGTTTGGCCAAATTCATGTTGGTAGCTTCGATGACATTGTCCAACCATCTCATCCTCTATCGTCCCCTTCTCCTCCTGTCTTAACACTTTCCCAACATCAGGGGCTTTTCCAAGGAGTCTTCTGTTCTCATGAGATGGCCAAAGTACTGGAGCCTCAGCTTCAGGATCTGTCCTTCCAGTGAGCATTCAGGGTTGATTTCCTTCAAAAAGGTTTGTTCTCCTTGCAGTCCAGGGGACTCTCAAGATCCTCCTCCAGCACCACAATTCAAAATCATCCATTCTTCGGTGGCCAGCTTTATTTATGGTCCAGCTCTCACCTCCATACATCACTACAGGAAAAACCATAGCTTTGACTATTCGGACTTTTGTTCACAAGGTGATGTCTCTGCTTTTTAAGATGCTGTTGAGGTTTGTCATCGCTTTCCTCCCAAGAAGCAGGCGTCTTTTAATATTATACCTTGTACTTAATATCTTGTACTCTTTCTTTTCTTTTAGTGTTGCTGCATCATTTAGAAACCCATTTTTAATAGCTTATATCCCCCTCCCCCCCCCGCAGTTCTATCTTAATTTGACAGTGACTGTCGTATGTATATATTATGCCATTTGTTTGCTGCTTGGAGCAGTGGCATTGCCACTAGTTAGGCAGTATTAAAAAATAAAATAAAATAAAATAAGTTTGCTACCCCTGGTTCTGATGAAGCCAAGGAGGGCAAAATTAGCTGTAAGTATTTTATAGAATCTTCCTTTGCAATGCACCTTAATGTATGTCTCAAAAGTCACCAGAGATGAGATCTATATACCTAGCCCCCAGATGTTCTGCTGATTAAGAAAAAATCCAAATATTAGAAGACGCCTGTGATATTAAAAACCTCCAGCAAGAATGACATATACCCAATGACTTCTACTACACTTATAAGTGGATGATCTTGGTCTTTGTTAAGCAGCCACTTATAAGTGTAATAGAAGTCATTGGGTACATGTCACCATTGATGGAACATTTTGCCATCACACTCCTCTTCTGATATATTTTACTTTTTCCCTATCAGTGTAACATCTGGATTCTAAGTATCTTATCTCTGAGAAAGCTGGCAGGAAAAAAATATGATTTATTTTGAAATGTGGTGCTGGAAGAGAGCTCTGTAGATACCCTGGATGGCCAGAAAAATGAACAAGGGGGTCCAAGATCAAATCAAAGCCGAACTGTCTCTGGAGGCAAAAATGTTGAAACCGAGGTTGGGCACCTCATGAGAAAGCAGGATTCTCTGGAGAAGACAATAATGTTGGAAATTATTGAAGGCAGCAGGAAAAGAGGAAGACCAAATATGAGATGGACTGAATTCCTAAAGGAAGCCATAGGCTTGCGTTTGTAAGAGCTCAGCAGAGCAGTTGAGGACCGAACATTTTGGAGACGGCTCATTCATTGGGTCGCCATAAATCGGAGGTGACTTGACAGCACATTTGGAGGCGGCTCATTCATTGGGTCACCATAAATCGGAGGTGACTTGACAGCACATAACAACAACAACACTTAGAAGACTGGCTAACAAACAGGAGTATTTAAGAAAAAATCTTCCTGCTTCTACCTTGGCTTTAGACGTAAGCCATCATTCCCACTCCACAAGGATCCTAGAGCATGTAATATTGTGGAGGGGGTTAGTTTCCTCTGATAAGGAATTCTCACACAAGAACCCCCAGGATTCTTTAGAGCAGAATTAAGGAACTAGATTGGTGAACTATTATTTTCACCATCCTTGACCACTGGCCAGGAGGACCACAGTCAGTAGGAAACTGAAGAGTGAAATTTGGAGCACCACAGCATCTCCAGCATTACTTTAAAGATGAGATGATGAAAGAAGGGGATTCAGGGACGAAGCTCGCCTGAAATGTCTATAAGGTCTCTTAAATGTCTCAGCTCTTGTGACATTTCTCCATATCCAGCAGATGCCCTCTTCTTTCTCTTAGGTTACTACACACGGATTTCTTTCATGAATGAAATAAATTAAATCAGGGTTTCTTTTCTCTGTTCTTTTTTTTTTCCAGGCTCCTATTCCTTGTCAGTCCGTCATGCACACGTGAAACATTATAGAATCTGCCGCCTGCCAAATAACTGGTATTATATCTCTCCCGGGCATACGTTTCAGTGTCTTGAGGACCTTGTGAATCACTACTCTGGTAAGAGAAGTTCGAAATAGGATTCGAAATAAGTTTCTTTCCGAACTTAGAAAAGATCAGCAACATCCACTCACAAGGTCACTCTGCTTTAATTTTAGATTGTTATCCATATATTTCTTGAACTGGACGTGTGAGTGGAGGTCATCGTCCCCAATATCATATTCAATATACAGAAGTCCTTTCTGAGGGCCAAATATCCATTTTAGTAGATCTAATTATCCTGAAAATGGGACACCACTCTGTAGAAATAGGTATAGAATTAAAGGAACAGGATTTACTCCTTCCTGGTAACTATTGCGGGGGGGGAATAATTAATAATGAAGAAGAAGAAGAAGAACAAGAACAAGAGGACAGGATTTACTCCTTCCTGATAACTATGGGGGGTTAATAACAACAACAACAACAACAATTCTTCTTCTTCTTCTTCTTCTTCTTCTTCTTATTCTTATTCTTCTTATTCTTATTATTATTCTTATTATTATTATTATTGGACAGCTGTTCTCAGAATCTAGCACTTTGGCTGATCAATTCTGAGAGTTGCAGCCCCCCAAAATGTAACTATTTGAATCTCTCATCATCCTTTCTAAAGCTACAAGAAAGGGTGGGAGGAAGGAACTGATTCTGCTGAGTCCACTTCTCCTATCCTATAAGTTTAATATATAAGTGTGTGCATATGCTAAGATTTCACACAATCATTGCACACAAATATTTTAAGGTGAACAGTGGGATCCTTAGGACTGTGTAAATGCCACACGAACCCTGCTATTTGGTCTTTCACTTTTTCTGGTAGGTGCCCAGTCTTGGGATGTTGCTGTTTCAAAGCTTTAGGGGATGGAGGGACGAGTGTGGTCCCGACCAATGAGGGTGATTCAGATGACGCATCAGAGTCTGATATCAGAGTCTGATATCTGACAGCACCACTGATGGGTAACAAAACCCACTCGTTGCTCTGGACTAGAGTGATCCATGGATCAGCCTAACTTAAGGGGATTAGCTGGTTGGGAGTTTGATTCTCCACTGTGTC